TGGGGGGTTCCTTGCAAAGTGATGAAATGAGATTAGAGTCCCTCCTCATGAAACATTCACATGACAGATCATCTGGGGAAAGAAACATCAACCAAAAGAAAAAGCTTCCCAATTAATAAAACATAAGAGAAGTGAGATGGAACAGCATGTGAAAGGAATGACCTGCTTTAAAAGCACTGCTGGGTGTCATCTTAGCTCCTTCTTGCAGAATTCCCCACATAAACCCATCCAGCTGTTCCCATCTGCCTCCCTACTGCCGCTGCCAGGACGGGGAACCACGACAACCCTGCTGCTGGAGAGCTGCTTCACTTCTCCCGGAAAAAACGTGCAATTCCAGGGAGTGACCCAGGCAGAAGGATCTTCCCAGGACCAAACTGGGTGTGCAGCATCCCCTGGTGCTGGTGCACTGCTGCCCCCACCCAGGTGCTCTCTGTGGGCCCAGCACACGTGATCATATCCCCACTTTGCACCTGCAATCTCTCACCCCATTTGTGCATGCAATTATTATATCTGCATGCATAATTGGGAATGCATTATGCAAATCACCAGTTATTGAGGTAATTGGTCATTGGCTTACACAGTTACTGGTGGGTGATTTGCATGTGCTGTGCTGGTACCTTTCTGAATAAATCCAGCACACTCAGGCAATTCTGAAAATAAACGTCCACATCCAAACCCTGGGTGAAGAGAAAACCTTGCTGGGTTCACAAAAAGTGTCACCCACACTAAGAAACCTGTAACAACACTCAAACTGTAATATCTCTTTCTCTGCTTAACCCACAAACAAGTCTTCAGCAAGAATACTTCTCCAAAAATTCCACCTGCCTGTTGCAAACTGTGCTCACAGACTTATTTCCATCTCCCATCCCTCAGGAGTTGCTGCTGTTGGGACACAGCAAGATTCTCACATGCCTAGTAGCAAGTCTCTTTTATTTTTTTTTATTTTTTAAATTTATATTTATTACTTTTTAATATTTTAATTAATTTTTTATATTTTAATTATTTTTTATATTTTTATTTATTTATTTCTCTTTTATTTTTATTTTTGATGGCACTCCTTCTACCCGTCAGTCCCACTTGCTCCCTCTTCCCAGTTGATATTTCAGTCCAAAAAGGCACTTTAGGATCCCGTGGCACAGTTCAGGGGATGGATTATGCACACACTGGGACACTAAGCAGCTTAATGGCAGGATGTCTGCTCAGAGAGAAAAGGCAGCGACGTGCGTGACAGGTCACCCAGAGCTCCATTGTTTTATTATTATCCAGCCTACATTGTTTAGACCCTTCCAAAGCTTTAAAGGCCTGGTCCCCAAAATGCCAGGCACTGGGAAGACACAAACCAGCAGACAGGTCTCTGTCCTGGAGCTGCAAACAGGTTTGGGGCAGGAAGGAGGAGTGGGCATGGGGATGGAGTGGACACAGCAAATGTCACACTCCCTCCACAGCACTTTCAGGGATGAAGATGAACCAGGAAAGCAGCTGAATGCAAAGACTATGGAGGAATAAGGGGATGAAGTCAGAGGGTACAGAAGGAGAGAAGATGAAAACAAAGAGGCAATCAAAAAGGGCAATGTGCAGCCCAAATAGTCATAAATCTCGTCTTTTCCTGGGACCTTTTTCAAGACCCCTTGAGCAGGAGTGTGTGGGAGAGCACTTAGTTCTGACTGATACTGATGACAGGAAAACATTTTTGGAGATTGTACATCGATCAGCTCATGGGAGGTAACATGGAGAGGAAAATTCATTGCCTTTCTCCCTGAGTGCAAACCTTCCCCTTAGTCCAAGAGGTCCTGCAGCAGCTACTCCTGAGCTGTTGATACCTCACAGCCTGAGAGAGAAACAACTTCCACTGCTCTTTACTGCACAAAAATACTCATTTGCATCCTGTAGGAATGAAAGATTTTTTAATTTCCATCTCAACATTATTCTCATTCCCAGTGTTTCAATGTTGTGAAAACTGCCTAGAAACGAAGACACTGGCTCAAGATTTTAAAATTTTAACTCTCACTGTATTTGTCCTCCTCTTTGTTTGCAGGTAGGTTTTAGGTCCACCAGATTTGTGCCTTGCAGGATTTTTCTCCAGCATTGGCAGGGGCTGCCCAGGGAGGTGGTGGAGTCTCCATCCCTGGAGGTGTTCAGGGAATGACTGGTTGTGGCACTCAGGGCTCTGCACCCAATGGCTCAGCAGGGACATCTCAAATCTCCTGTCCCATGAAGGAAGGTTTCCATTCTGTGGTCCTGAGGAGTTTGGAGAGCTTGGGGAGCTGCTCTGCAGCTTCCAACCATCTCTGATTGCTTTGGGGTTTGGAGGTGTGAGCTCTGCTTTGGAACCTTATTTGTGATCATTGCAAAGCTCCTCATGGATCTTGGAAGGGGAGGGGACTGTTGTGTGTGTAATTTAAAACAGGGAAAGCCTGGAGTGGAGACAGCACTGCTGCAATGACAGACAAGTGTTCAGCTGCTCATGAAAATTAAAGACAGAGAACACTGTCCCCTGGGAAGTTCCAGACCCCCGGCTCTCCTCTGGGCTGTACAGACACAGGACAGGCCCAGGAGCCTCCTGAGGAACCAGAGCAGCCTCACACCAACACCATCATCAGTGTGTGTGAGAAACAAGGCTCAGACAGTTCCCTCAAACCCCAGTGCCCGTCAGGAGACAAGGAGGACACGGCTGTGGGGGCTGCAGGTCCCACTGCTCTCCCTGGGGTTAGAGGAATTGTGCAGAGAGCTGCAGGAGGACCCCATGGAACTGGAACCGTGTGAAAGGATGGGGCTACTCTGCTGGGAAAGTGAAAATAAATTCCCTGCCCTGAAACAACGAACCGAAGCCATTCAAAACACTGGGTTTTCCAAGATGCATCCTCTATTGAATTACTTCCACATCAGGAATAAGTGATAGAAGGGAAGGGAACATCTGGATGAGAACGGGCCCTGTGGAAGGAAAAGCAGCCTTTTGGACATTGATGAGTTCCTTCTGAAAATTCAATTTCCTTATGTATGAAAAACTTCACTTTTACTGTTACTCAAATGACCTTTTGGGCTCCCAGAAAAAAATTCATTGCCTTGGGAGGAAATCTGAAGCATTAAGTGCAGACTGTATTTGCCACGTGTTTAACTTATTGTTAACTCATATTAAAAACTGTTTAACCAGTCTTTAAAATCATTTCCTGGGAAGGTGCCACTTTGGGCCATGCCTGGAGGAGGTGCTGAGCTCAGCCTGACGAGGAACCAGCACCTTTTCATCCAGGCTGTGCTCAGGTGATTGCAACACTTTGTGCAGGGCTGGAGGGTGAACAATATCCCCAACAATTACCTGTCAATAAAAGCACCAGTGCTTGTTGAGGAACACAGAATTCCCATTATCTTAATAGAGGGCACGAGGGATGAGGCAGCACAGCACCATCCAGCACAGCTTTGCCTTCTGTTGGTTAAGTGAGTAATAAAAAAAAGCAGGAAATAAAGGTTTTAAGGTATGAAGAAAAGCTGATTTTTATATCAGTGCCAAAACTTCAGCCAGAAACTCCTCGTCTAACACAGATTAATTGTTCTTAAGTCCAACGTGAGGCTCCAGCCAGTGCACCCAGGGAGCTGGGCCAGAGAAGTGGGTGAGGAGCGAGGTCAGGACAAGAAAAGGTGCAGAAATGTGCAAGTCAATAACTCCGAACTAAGGTAAGTGAAAACAGAGTCAGCAAACCAGGAGGGAACGGGCAGTGGAACATATCCAAGGGCTTACCCAGACAGCTCTAAATCCCTGAATTTCAGGCTCAAATGACTCCCACGGTTCACAGAATCACAGAGGTATGGAATATCCTGAACTGGGAGGGACCCACAGGGATCATCAAAGTCCAACTCCTGGCCTTGCCCAGGACACCCCAAATCCCACCCTGTCCCTGAGAGCGTTGTCCAAACCCTTCTGGAGCTCTGGCAGTCTTGGGGCTGTGCCCACTGCCCTGGGGAGCCTGGTCAGTGCCAACCACCCTCTGGGGGAAGAACCTTTTCCTGAGATCCAACTTGACCCTGCCCTGTCCCAGCTCCAGCCGTTCCCTGGGTCCTGTCCCTGGTCACGGGGAGCAGAGATCAGACCTGCCCCTCCGCTGCCCCTCGGGAGAAGCTGTAAAGAGCTGTGAGATCTCCCCTCAGTCTCCTCTTCTCCAGGCTGAAACCAGGTGGACATTGTAGCCTATTTTTCTCCTGGCTAACTCATCAATTCCTCACTGAGCAGCACTGGAGGACACACAAATGCAATCTCAGTTGTGGGGCACAGCGAGTTCCCATCTCCATGGCTTGAGGTTTTCCTCTCTACACAGCACAGAAACCCCAATGTTGGAATCCTGGCAGGCCACAGCACTTTGTCACTAGCCTTCTGTGTCACTTCTAATGAAGTCTGAAAAAATTTAGAAGCAGAGTCCAAAGGGCAGGTGGAAAGACCCCTGGCAGGTCCACGCTCTGCCTCAGACACAGGTTAGGTTTTGTGATGGTGACATTGTCACGGTCAGGTCATCCCAAACAACTGCACAGTGTGTCAGTGTCAGGGCACGTTCTGCAGGGCAGCACTGACACTGGCCAGGCACTGGCAGGGGCTGTGCACTCTGAACCCAGTGATGGACAATTGGAGATTCGGGCACCCCAGGGGCTGTTCCCCCGAACCCAGTGACGGACAATCGGAGATTTGGGCACCGCAGGATCACCCTCCGGTCCTAGGGGGCGGGGCCATACTCTGTGGGCGTGGTTTTGGGGCGGGGCCATGCCGAGCCCCGCCCCTCACAGCCGGTGGCGGCGCGCGGCGCAGCCAATGGGAGCGTGGCCTGTCACGTGACCCGCGGCGCCTTCCCAGGTGCGCGCGGCAGCGGCTCCAGAGCGGGCGGGACCGGGGACGGGAGAGCTCCGGCCGGGCGGGGCGGGGGACGGGGCGCGGGGACGGGAGCTGGCCACCCACCCACCCACCCATCCATCCGTCCATCCATCCACACACCCACCCAGCCCGCCGCCCCTCTCCGCATCCCGGCGCGGCGGGAGCGCGGCGGCAGCGGCGGATGTACAGCCCCGGGGAAGCCCCGCGGGAGCGCCCGGCCGGCGGTGAGTGCGGAGCGGCTCGGGGCAGGGAGCGGGACCCCCGGGAGCTGCGCGGGTGCGGGCGCTCTGATGGGATGCAGGATGTGTCGTGGGATGCGGGGATGTGCGCTGGGATGCGGTGCGCTCCGCTGGGATGCGGGGATGCGCGCTGGGATGCGGGGATGCGCGCTGGGATGCGGGGATGCGCGCTGGGATGCGGGGATGCGTGCTGGGATGCGGGGATGTGCAGCGCACATCGCCCGGGGAGATCCCGCGGAGGGAGCAAAGTTTGCGGCGGCGGACGCGCCCCCCGGTGCCCCCCGGGGTGCCGGGGGAGTCCCCGCGGGCTGCGGGGTTTCGGCCGCTCGGCACTGCGCCGGGACCGCCCCGGGGCTGCGGCCGCCCCGCACCGCCGGGGCTGCGGGGTTCGGCTGCAGCATCGCCCGCCTCCTCCCCGCGGGCGCTCCGCTGTCCCCCGGGCCGGTCTGGCGGTGGATCGCGGGGTTTGGGGGCGGATCGGTGCCCGGGTGCCGGCGGTGGGCGCGGGGCTGGCGGTGCGGCAGCGCTGCCCGCGTCCCTATTTGCATGCGAATGGGAGAGGATCCCGGCAGATGTCCTGCCTCATCCATTCACCCGCAGGAATGCGAGCAGACAAGGAGCCTTCAGTGTGACAATGGCCCTTCAGAAAGCGGCATAAAGGCGCAGTGTGAGCGCGGCCGCGGCTCCGCCGCCTCCTCCCGCGGCCGCGGCTCCGCCGCCTCCTCCCGCGGCCGCGGCTTTGTGCGCGGGGCGCTGCGGGCGGAGCGGCCGCCCCGCACCTGGGGCTGCGGGACCGGGAGCGGAGAGCGCGGGGCACGGCAGAGATGCTCCAGCGGGGCCGGGCCGCACCGCACCTGCGGGCTGGGGGGATTTGGGGAGTCGGGTACCGGAAAGTGCGGGGAGAAGCGCGGGGCAGCGGCCCGGCGGCCGCGGATCGTCACCCCTGCTCTGGTGGTCCCCTGCCCCCGGGGCTGGCTGTCCCTCTCCCTGCGAGTTTGGGGGTCTCTAGCTCGGGGTCTGGCGGTCCCCTCGGCCCCCGGGGTTGAGGGTCTCTCGCCCCCGCTCCCTCCCCGCGCAGCCGCGGGCGGACAAAGGGACCGACCCCGCTGCCGCCCCTTTGTCGCCCCTGTCAAAGGGCCCTTTGAGCGCGGGGCCGGCCCCTCTCCCCTGCAGGAGGAGGGAGAGGACGAGGCGCTTTGTGCCGCGGGCTCAGCATCACCGGGGCCGCACAACAGATGTTGGCCTGCGATTTTAGCTCTCCCCCAAGTTACTCGGGGCGCCTTTCCCACCAGGCGATGAAAGGCAAAGTAACAGAATTAAACTCAAAGTAGGCAATAATGTTGTCCAGAGGTGAGAGATCACGCACAGGGAGCTTCTATTTTTGTCCTGGAGCTGCGTGATAGCTCCCTGGTAATGAAGAGCATGATAGCCCTTCAATAAAAACTAATTTGTGAACCTTTAAGTCTTTTCCTTACGGACTTAAAGGGTCGCTATAAAAGGACATGATCTTTCTAAAGGAGATCATAAACCTTTTCTGGTGAACAGCTCAGATGTACCCACGGAGCTCCCAGAGGCTTCCAATGACCCAAGTCACGTAGGGCAGCAGTCCCAGTGTTGTCCAAAGGATCCTACCCAAGTATGTCCCAAAGTCTTGCAAGTTGGAATTTACAGTAATTTAAAAGACAGACACGCTGAGGGAGACAAACCAATGCCTGGAGCTTCCCAGATGGGAGGAGTGAAGAGGGCAGGACTGTTCTGTCCCTCAGCCCATGGCTCTCACCCCCTGGGCAGGGCACAGCTGGTGCCCCAGTGCCCCCTGTCCCTCTGCTCTGCAGCCACGTGTGTCACTGCCCCGCGACAAAAGCTCCGCTTTAACTTCTGCCTCGACAGCTAAAAGTTACCTGCACAACATTTGATGTAGTCCCTGCAAAATGATCTCTCCCAGGAGGAATTTTGGACTTGAACAGACCAGTTGCTGGGATGACTATACAGTCGTTTCCATTCACCTGGAACAGACACAAATAACAGTACTGGTTATTGAAGGAAGGAGGATTTTGCATCAAGTTGTACAGTTATAAAAGGATAACCAACTTTTACTGCCATAAATAATACTGAGCATGTCCAAACTTGGGCTGCAGAAAGAAACTTCTTTTGAAGCTTCAGGGGTCTGACCAGGGCTCAGACAGCCTCGGAGGCGACAGAGCCCAGGCTTAAAACCAGTTGCCCAGAGAAGCTGTGGCTGCCCCTGGATCCCTGGAAGTGTCCAAGGTCAGGTTGGACGGGGTTTGGAGCAACCTGGGCTGGTGGAAGGTGTCCCTGCCCAGGGCAGGGGGTGGCACTGGGTGGGCTTTAAGGTCCCTTCCAGCCCAACCACTCTGTGATTCCGTGGTTCTGTCTGTGCATTTGGTTCCAGCTCGTGGAGCAAACGGGGTCCTTTAAATAACCCCGTGTGAAGCTCTGCCATCATCCCATGGCTGAGCCTGTGCCCGGGGGTGCAGGAGGCACAGCCCACGCCCAGGGGATGCCGCAGCCCTTTGTTTCCCAGCGATACAGTGTCGGGGCACTGCAGAAGCCAGGGAAAACTTTTCCTAACGGGCGGGCTGTGTTCCTGCTGTATTCCTGCTGCTCCCGGCTGGCTGCTGCTGCCAAGGCGGGCGGCAAATTCCCTCTCCATGATTTCATTTGTAGGGACACTTAAAGCACCTTGGATGAATCATAACCCGGGTCAAGTGTTGCTGCTACTGCAGCTCCCACGGCTTCGTATTTGCTGGAAAAGGGATTTATTTGCATCACTGAGCCTGCAGGTTTCTTTCTGTTGTTGTCAGGGATGATATAAACTCCCCAAGTTCATTTAAACAATATTTTAAGATTATTTTTTTTTTAGTTTTTTGTATGAATTATTTTGAAGCTCTTATTTCTGCTAATGATATCAATGAGTGAAAAGAGAGGTTTTGTTTGCAGAGCTCTGTGCCACGTTAGTTCTGCCTCTTCGGGAGCTGCTCCTTCCCCAGGCCTTGGAGCACATGCCTGGTCCCAGGCTGGGCTTTGTGTCAGGCTCAGATCAGGCTCAGGCACCAGAAAGAGACAAAACCAAAGGAAAAGAGTTAAGTGACGTTTGCAGAAGAGTGCTGGTTGTTAACAGCATTTATTTGACTTTATTTTTTCAACCAGCAAAGTAGCAAGATGCTGAAAATATTTACGGAGGAGCCAAAGATTTCCAGAAATAACCCCCCCCCTCTCTCCTTGGGCACTTTGTCGCCTTGGAGGTGCCTGTTCTTTGAAGCCCTGATTAATATAGATGAGTTGTAATTTTGTGACCAAGCCATCCTAGTTCACATATATTATTCCATTGGCAGACATGTGGTCCCCACAGCTGTCCCCTCATTTGTGTATGAAATGGAAACACTGGTGGCATTTGTAGGTTACCATAGTTACACGAACAATACACGTGTGAGGCTTCATCCTGCCAAGCTCCAGATTTTTTTCCTGGCAGACATTTTGTAGACACGGAACTGAAGAAAATCTATGTAAAGTTTTTGGAAGTGCAGAAATCCCTCCCTCCTCCTCTCTGCTGGCATAAGGCTGATGGGCAGGGAACCTGCCTTTCTGCTGCCTCTCCACGCCTGGTTCCTGCATCTTCTCCCAGTTGGAATTGCCATTGTGGAGATGCAGGATGCTCCCAGGAATTGTGAGAGCAGTTAAGTCATTAGCAGGGTCATGCCTTAAACACATCTTTCTTAAAAATAAGTTGTGAGCTCTCCACAAAAGGGAACTTTGGAGCTGGGATAGTTTTCCTGTGTTACGGGAGCTGGCAGTGCCTGTGGGGCTCCTGGGGGAGCAGAGAGGTGGGAAGGAAAGGAGCCAGACCCCACATCTGCTCTACCAGGACAGAAATCCAAGCAAGGCCACTGCAAAAACACCCATACTCTGTTCTCTCTATACAATTAACATGTGCCCACCACGGGAAGAAAGATGGGCAAAAGTAAAGGAAATCATGGAGCTGGCTTAGGAATGGTTTTGTTGGTGGAACTAATGGTGCTTCCCTGAGGCTGGGAGGGCGTAAATTCTGCACAGAGACACCACGGGACAGCTTTGCTAAGAACCAGTCCCCGCAGATGTGCTGAGTTATTCAAAGACCTGCCCAGGCTCGCTCTTTTCCTTTAGCTGAGTAATTAAGTCCCTCACTAATGGGCTCCATAAGGTCAGAGTGGAACACTCCTCCATGCAGGGCTGAGAGGTCCCCACGTGAAAGTCCTGAACCCCATTCTCCTCTTCTTTGCTGCTTCAAACCCTGCAACTTTATTCAAATTTGGTTTGGCTCTTTAGATGTCCTATTTCATATTTCTACATATGGCACCGGAGGAAAATACTGGACTGGCCTATTTTGGTTTGGCCTAATTCTCCTCCTGAGGAAGGCAGGACGAGTCTGTGGCATCAGTGGGAACAAAATTAGTCCCTGCCCTTAAATTCTACTGCAAAATGTTTTTATAGCTTCACCCTCTATTCATAAGACCTTAATTTGGTGATCCAAGCCAGCGTTTTCTCGATGTTCCATCTGGCTGAATTATTAACAGAACAGGCCCTGGTTTCTACCTGGAGCACAGTTTCTAAAGATCAAGTATTTGCAGTGGAGTGTTACCTTTTTCTTTTCTTTTTAACTAACAGAACAAGGCAAAGCAGTTGCAAGTAATGGGCTTGAAAAATTTAACAGGGTGCAGTACTGAGAATGCACACGAGTTATAAAAGTGCCAGGGAGAAACAGCTCTTTCCCTTATTTTATTGGGCACAACAGCCTTGCTCCATAATTCTCTGTCCTGAGGTGCTGCCCTTTAGTCCCCAGAGCTCACCCAGGGCAGTATTTTCCCGGCCACTCCTCAACCTGAAGTGATTTAACAGGGAGGCAAAGCTTACTTTGGGGTTTTAGTTGGAAATTTTAGAGGTTGTCAGTCAGCAACTCATTTCCAGGTATTTAATTTAACTAACTCTGGTGATTCCAGCAATTTATGCATCTGTCAGCTTTGATTAGAGCAGGAGAACCGAGTGCTTTTGGAAGCCAAGCCCCCTCCAGGTCCCTGGCAAGGTTTGCCTGGTGGGTAGTCCAGCGTGAGCCAGCGCTGGGGTGACTGTCCCCACCAGTGCCCGGGGAGCTTTGGAAGACAGTATTCCTGGCCTGGAGAAGCCATGAGGCTGCCTGAGTCCATGGCAGATGCTCCCTGGGTTCCTCCTCCACGCTGGAGCCTGCAGGACACTCCTCAATGCCTGCTTTTATTTGATTTATACCTACTTTTGTGCAGTCCCTGGAACTTAATTCATCAAGCAAAATGCCATACTTGGATCTGTCTGTGCCAGACTTGGATCCACACAGCTGCATCCAGGACATGCCCTGTGATGCCAGCCCAGCTCCTGGGCTTTGGATGTCTGGGAGCAGCTCCAGCATTCCCACACATCCCAAAGACTTGGTGCACCTGGAGCAAGCCCAGCTTTTCTGGAGTTCTCAGGGGTTGGGCAGCAACACAGGGAAGGATCAGACTAAGCAGCATATAAAAGTTATTCAGAGAGAACTCCTGAGCTTGTCCAAAATTTGGTAGAATCACATTTTACATTTTTTTAATAAAATATCAATCAAAGCTTGGATTGTCTTTTTTGTAATTTGAAAATGTTTATCATTGACATAATGGATCCTACATTTTCTGTTATTTCATGCATCACATCATTTATTTGATTAAGCAAGTCCAGAAGTACCAAGTAAATTCATACCTTGCTAATGTGCTGCATATAATTACTGGGATGCAGATGAGCCACTGATTGGCCTTGCTACATTTTTAAATTACAAATGATCCATCATTGTAACAGAAACAGAGTAAATATTGATAATTCCAGAGCTCCACCACTCTAATGGGCATTGCAGTGCCTTGTAAATGCATTGAAAAATAACTTATTTCACCCACAGGGGAACAACCAGTTGCAAAAAAGAAAAGTTTTTTAAATTGCTGCTTGAAAATAGGTCTTTAAAATGGTTTCATGATAGTTTTTAAGCACTGAGTAAAACCAGGTCAGCAACCTGGGCTAGTGGAAGGTGTCCCTGCCCATGGCAGGGGTGGAACTGGATGAGCTTTAAGGTTCCTTCCAACCCAAACCATCCTGGGATTCTTTGTAAGTTCATTGGCAAATAAGTTTTCCTTTCTCCTTCTGTACCCAAAAGAATCGCTGTAATTAGGTAAAGATTTCATCTATAAAGCATCAATAACTTGAACTTTTACGAGGAAAAACCTCTCCTGTGTTTCCTGCACCAGGCAGCAGTTTGGAGCACTGATGGAATAACCCACCCATGGCAATGAGGAGACTGAGGGCTAAAGCTGAAGGCACAGTTTATAGGGCTGTTCTTAAACATCCAGTACATTAAATATGAGGTATTTTCCCTCTTTCTTAATCTCATGAACTTCCCAAAGCAAGACTGACATCTGTTTTCTGCGTGAAACAAAATTAGTATGGAAATTTCAGTGAGAATTGAGGTAAAGAGAAATAACTAAACCAGGGCTGGGAACATTCCCACCATTCCAGCTGACTGAGCTCTCCTCTCCTGATGACATGGCAATGCCACTCAGATGATTTTGGAATGAAACAGTGATGGAAAACACATATTTCAGGTAGAAGCCTGTTCAAAAGTGCAGAAAGACTTGTGGAAAAGGGTCATGTGTTCATCTGTCTGAGTGGAGAGAAACAACCTTTTCCTTAGGCCAGAGTAAAGCCGGATTTCAGAGAAGGTCCAACCCCAAACCTGTGGCCTCCTAATGGAATTAATTCTCTCCCTTCTCAACTTGGTTGAGTTCCAGATCTTTCTCTTGGTGCTGACAGCCTTTACATCAGATCTCAGCACCTCCCCTGCTAAATCCATTTACTTGGTTAGTGGTATGTTCACAGTCTTCCATATCAGATCTTTCAACTCAATATATAGGTTTATTAACATTTGTATATAAATATAGCTCAAAAATAGAGAATTTGATTT